TATTTTTATTTCTTATGTTTTATTGATTTTATTGTAATTCCTTTGATTGCTGTGAGCTGCCCAGATCATTGAGACTCGGGTAGTATACAAGTCCAATCAATCAATCAATCAATCAATCAATCAATGACAATAGAATGATAGGTTTCTGCTCACATCTATGGAAAAACACTGAGGGTAACCCTGAATGAAGGTAATACCAAAAAGGGGGACGCTAATGACATAAATGAAAGAAATAACACTTTTAGAAACAAAATAGATTTTGTATCCATAACACACTTGTGGAAGGAAGATGTTAGACCTTTGGTATGCATCTTATTCCCAGGCTAGCTGACAGATTATTTTCAAACATGGTATTAATGCACAGAGCTGATGGCTGGCAGAGGATCTGTGGTGATTCTGCTAAAACATAACATCATGGGCTTCCCATCTTCATAATTTGAGAAAGAGAGAGCAGGAGGCACCCTCGGACTCAAATAGTAGGCTTTCTTTGCTGCCTCACTATGTAAATCTGCACAAGTTGCTGGCCTGCTCTCTGCTGGGCTATACACCATCATCATTCTTGCCATCTTTTATCTTTATCTTTTATTGATATTATTGTAATTTGATTGTTGTGAGCTGCCCAGACTTGTTGAGAATCGGGTGGCATACAAGTTTAATAATTATTTATTATTATTATTGCCAGTCATAAGCAAGGCTGTGCAAGGATGAAAAGCTGCTTCATACCAAGGTGGACCATTTTTCCATCCAGCTTGGACTATACTGTTCTACCCCAACTGGCTGCTGTTTTGGATGACAATTCCTATCACTCCCAGCTATGCTGGTTGAGCATGATGGAAAGTGTAATCCAAGGCACTGGGCATGACTGAGATTGTTTTCCCAGTTCTGTGTAGACTTCTTGTGGACTACACGCATGACCTGCCCCTTGCAAAGCATGTGCTCTATCACACATCTCCGACTTCTCCCTAGATTGCTTCTATTTCTATAGTTCAAGCATTTGGCCTCTTGGGTTCAGACTGAACTACTGTTGGACTATATAGCTCAGCAGGCAAAGTGTCTGTTTGGCACGGAGAAGGTTTTAAGTTCAATCTTTGCTTCCTCCAATTAAAAGGATCTTCTAGAGGGAAGTGGGAAAAGACTCTTGTGGTGATCTGACTTAATTCAAGCTCTCTTTGCCAAGTTCCCAGCTGTCTCTTACAGAGAAAAAAAGGGAAGATTTCCTCGCACGCAGATAAATAGTAGCCTAGTGTCACAGAATGCTGACCGACATGCTCTCACAACTCAAAAGTACACACACACAATGAAAGATAAAGCTAAACCATATGTTCCACTTGGCAAGTCTGCTTGGAATGCCAGGCTACGCAAACAGAGTTGGTCCTCTCTGCTCTAAAGAGACAGCAAGAAAGAGGAGTCAAAAAAGGGACAAATGCATTCTGAGTAACTACAAAGACTCAAGAGGCTGTCTTCCCACAAACATACTTATGGTGGTCAAGACCCAGCAAATATATTTGCAGAACCTGTTTAGGTTTTTTGGTAGCTTAATGATGACGTAAGGCGAGTCTGTTCTGTAAACTCAGAAAATGGGTGGAGTCTGTAACCAAGTTGTGTGAATGCTGCCAGGTTGTGCAACTGGAATATGTCAGGTGTGCACACACACATGCACACCACTACTGAACTGTTTGGTTGTGCCTGATTGAATTTCCAAAGTTGTATTTTAAAAAATGCACATCTGAAAGGGGGAAATTGGGGACACTGGGAGTTTTTATGGACTCAGGCAATGATCATTTCCCACCTCCCCAGCCCCAAAACAAACCTAAGAATAGCCCAGATGGATCAGGCAAAAGGTCCATCTAATCACTGTGCAGCTTCCCAGAGTGAGCAGTCAGATGTCTCAAGCCAGGGATTAAAACAATATTTCAACTCCGTTGCACGTTCTCAACAAAGCTGCTGGAGTAGTTTACATTTATAACTAGCTTGAGGCATTGCAATCCATACCCATCTGGAGATCACAAAAGCTCTATGGGTTAAAATGTCTAAGACATTGCTTAGTTCCAAATGTGAGAACCTCTGAACTTCTGTCCCACTATCTTACCCAGAGACTGCCCTAATCCAGCACTGTGGACTCTATCCCCAGTGATTCTTGCTATATCCTATGGCTGCAAGTTCCACAGGTTAATCATGATTCATGCTTTCTTTTCTTCTCTGTTCCCTTCTCATGAATTTCATCCAATACCTCCAAGGGTTGTGAGAAACACTATATCTCTAATCTTAGTTAGTTATTTACTCCTTTTGTAAACTTCCATCAAAACTCCCAAGCTTGTTTATAAAAATGCTTCAGCTATTCTTCAGAGGAACCATCTTACACAATTTGGCAGAAGTGGGCTTTTGTATGCAAACCTACATATTTTGGGCTGACTTGGATTAAAAATAAAACTATTCCTGCCTTTTTTGATTATCTACCATCAAGAAGGTGTCAACTCTTAGTGATCACACAGATTTTCTCCATGTTGATCTGTCCCTAACTTGGCCCTTCAATGGACTCAATTACAGCAGAGATGGGTGAACTGTTGGAAGATGTGAAGGACCAGGTTGGAATAGATCCTCCTGGAGAAAACCTACTTATGTGGTTGCCAAGAGTCGACACTGACTTGATAACACATAATCAATCAACTTGCTCCTAGTCCAGCATTATACCACACTGGCTCTTGAGAGAATGGGAGAGAATGGGATTGGCTCATCCAGGGAGCTTCTGTGGTTGAGGGGAACCAAAACCTGTGTTTCCCCAACCCTAATCCAGCACTTCAACCACTACACCACACTGCTTCCAATCACAGTCCAGCAACAGTTGGAGAAACACAATCTCCCCACTTCTGTTCTATAGCATTGTGGGAAAATAAAACTGGCATGTTTTTACTTTGGTTGAATGAAATACAGGTAAAACGAGGTGGGTTTCTGGTGAAGCCCTTGAACATCTCAGATCTAGGACATACTTATCCATACCACTGACATCAACCATTTCAGAATGAGATCGGGGAATTATATGCAATATACTTTCCACACAGAAGTGGGGTAAAATGTAGTTCAACATCACTGACGATGCCTAGTAATGGTTCTCTAGCAACTAAAATCCTTGAGGCTGAAATCTTTTTTAAATGGGAAACCAGGATTGAAAGCATGAGCAGTGCTATTCAGCTATGGATCTCTCGCACTTGCTGTTTCAATATATTATTTACTTAGTGCTGAATTTAATTTTTGGCTTTAAATTCAGGGTCATATGCTAAGAAGCAGCATTCATGAAATGCATCACCACATACTTTAATACTCGAGAGCAAAATGTTTCTTTAACACTGAGCTTCCCAAAGTGGTGCTCGTGGGTATCAACAAGCTTAAAATACCTTTCTTCATATCTGTAAGCCTCCATGGATCACGCTTGATTAAAGTGGCCATGCTCCAAAGTGAATTTCTAAATGGTAGCTGCCACTTTTCTTTTCCAAATAAAATAAAGACCCCAGAAGCAATCACAGGAGATAAAAATGACAGGTGCCTGCAGCCCAGAGTCGAAGGAAAATTACATTGGGATCAAGTAGCAGGTGTCTGTAAAATGGGTATCCGAACCGAAAACGGTGAGTTCAAAAGACCTGTTTCATGTCTCATAACTTAGATTATTCCCTTCCTAGTCTTGAAGCTTTTGGGGAACAGCTTTCTTTAGCTCAGCCATTTTGTTCTTCCCTGTACACAAATGGTTTCCTTTGCACACAAAATGGCTGTTTTGTGGCTGAGCACAAGCAACATGGCAGCCATTTTGTGGAAAGGAATCCACCTGGGCGGCAGACATTTTACGACAGATGCTCAGCGCAACAGCCATCTATCACACTTAATTTGCTGATGTATTTATCACACGTTCATCCTGCCCAATGACAGAAGTTCTCCGGGTGGTGAGCAATCCATCAAAATACGTTATTAAAAAAGTAAAATGATATTTAAAAACAAAACAAAACAAAAACCAGCAGAGAGAAAGCACAACAGATGAGCTAAAATTCAGGAACGTCACATGTTCTTCAATAACCAAAAGGAACCCGCCAGCCCCAAAGGATAAAGCTCAAATAAATAAAATAATCAGCTACGAATCACAGAGCTGCCCAAAAACATTCTCAGCAAAAGACAGCCTAAAAGAGGTCTGTTTTAAGATCTTCTAAAAATTTTTTTTTCTTTCATTATATTTAGTCTGCATTAGTTTTTATCTTTTTAATTGTAATGTTTAATAAAGTTATTATAAAAAAAGAAAAACCTGTTCCACTTGGAA